AATCCCATATTTTCTGTGGTTCAAATTCAGACACTTTGTGTGGATAATATTTTGGAGTGAGTGGCGTGATGGAGATGCTTGTGTTTTATTTTTATTTTTTTGCTAGGAGTTTTATACATAATTTCTACAGATTCCTTTAGATTTAAAAGTTTTATGTTACTAAAACAATTGGATCTATTTGTACATAAAGTTATTTGTGGAGAGTCTAAACGCCAATATGGAGATGACCTAATTTTGATTTTTTTTTTTTAAGAATGTATTGAGCAATTGCATGCAGGGTTTTATCTGGTCGAAGTTAGAGAGATGACAGATGAACCTAATAATGGTGCACATTGCCAGCACTTGTGATCAAGCTATCCAGCAGGAACTTTTCCCCAAGGAAAGCATGGAAAAATAGGAAAAATATTCCAAATGCTTGCCAGTCAGGAATTTGTTTGAACAGGAAAGTAGAAGCTACTTTTCTAGCTGCCAGATAAAGTAACATCTAGGTTTAATTCCTTGAACAAAAGAGACTAGGGGGAAGCAGTGGGACCAGAAGTGTCAGACCAGTGACAGAGAAAGCATCAGCTAACCCAGAGTCAGCCCTTGAAGGTCTGATCTGGCATGGGTGATGAGTAGCACAGTGCTGTGACATCATGCCCACCGTGCTCACCTCTGCTGTGAGGCCTGCTGCTTTGCCATATCGGCACTTCCCTCATTGCAGAAGGGTCAGAAATCTGCAGTGACAGTTGGCCACTCTGGGAGGCAGAAACTTACAGCCCACGGCCAGATCGTGGGTTCCAGCCCATGCTGGCAAAAGGCTGCTTATCTCTGAAATAACCAATTCTTTCTACACTTTGGAGAAGGCCAAGTACTAGAAGCTGGATTGCGTGCCAGTGAGATCAGATAAAAGCATGGGGAGAAAATGCCCCTCACTTTGGATTTGACTCCAAGAGATAAGGGGAGGAGGGAGGGAGTAGATGGCTCCGACCCTTATCTGGCCTCCAGATCAGAACTGCAGCTGCTGCCCCCCTCCCCGCCCCTGCCCTTGCCTCTACTCCCCTTTGCCTTTACCCTGCATCCCCTTCCCCCCCACCTTCATATATAGAATCTAATTATTGGGGGTGTTTTCTTAAATTCAAAGTTGTCTTGGATTCATGTAAATCTGGTACTAAATTAGTAAAATAAAGAGACAGAACTACCAAAGGAAAATAAGTAGGACCAGTTTGCTAATAATAAAGTTATTTTTCTTACTGGGAGGACTGAGGGAAGGAAGTCATGTATCATTGATGCCAAGGTGGATAAAAATCAACCATTTAAAAAAAAATAAAAACAATTGGATTTTTATTTCAATCAGATTTTTTTATTTAATTTTTTTTTGTTTTTAAGATGCTTTTTTAAAACAATAAACCTGTATAAAGATAGGTTTGATTTAAGATATTTGATATTTTGATTTAAAGCTCAAAGATATCATTATGGAATAGCTATTGTAAGTTCTAATTATATACTATTTGAGATAATATATTCATGTAAACTTTTTTAGAAATTTTTTATAAATAGGTCACAACAGGACATGGACTATATTAGGGGCACAATTTTATAGGGTTCCCAGAAGCTTCTCTACAGATTAGTAAAGATTAAAGAAAACCATTCTCCCTAGTGGGACCAGTGCTCAGTCTAGAAGATCCCATTAAGCATCTGTGATGCTTAGTTTCAGTTCTCAAACTGGGGATTTGTATCTCCAGAAATAACATCCTTGTTAACAGCAGTATATGTAAATGGGAGATAACAGACCTGATTACCTACCCATCAGCCCTCTTGTCTTTCTTCAAGTTTGTGTAAACAGTCAAGACCTTACTTCTCTCTGAAAGTGCAAAGTTTCAAGAAGTTAAATGAATAGAGGATTGTTGGGGGTGGAGTAGATCTGGGCAAGGAGAAGGAGTTTGGAGATAAATGCAAGGAGGGAGGGGCAGTAGAAACAAAAAAGAAACATTTTGAGCATAATATTCTGGAAATCTTGAAGGACAAGTTTCTGAGTATAGCCTCTCCATTGATTTGAGATCTAGTGAGGGAATGGTATGGTAGAAAGGAAAAGCTATCATGGCAGTAGGCTTGCCAGGCCATAAGAGAGACCCTGTTTTGGGAATATTTTAATGAAGGTTATATCAAACAACAAGAATGCACTTTTTGTAGAAAAGAATGATTAAATCAAGGCTTCCGATTTAAATCATGATTTAAATTTATTTGATTTAAATCAGATCAACCCCACCTGATGCTATTTCCAGTAGACAAAAAGGGATGATTCTAGTCAACTGGTGAAATGATTAAGGAACTAGGAAATGTTTTACTCAAGTTATTCATTTTTACTTTATCAGAGGCCTCCTATAGGAATCATGGCAGAAGGCAGTTCTTTACTGTTTTTCAGGTCATTGTTTTTACCTTCCAACATATTTTATCCCGTTCTTTCAGTTTGGGCAATTCCCAATATTTTTTTTATCAAGGATAAACCCAGTGTAAGCTCCATTCTTGTCAAGGAAGACACATTAGCAAAATAGTTTCACATTTGGCATTTGTGTAACTTCTGCAGTTGTTTTCCCAAAAGAGTTTAAGTGAATCAGAAGACCTTTGTGTTAATGCTAGTGGTTGTACTTAGTGCTAGAAAATTATCTTTAATACTAACAGAATTCTGTGCAATTTCACCTCAATATTATGAAAAAGAGAATATAACTTAAATGTCATTGTCCTTGAACATTGTAACTCAGTTCTATATAATTGTAATAGATGGGATTTTGATGCAAAAAATGCTCTGGCTAATTTTTTTTATAGTTGCATAGACTTAAATATTATGTATGGACAAAAAAGTATGATCAACAAAAAAGAACCGTGTTTTCAAAATACAGAGATATGCAATACTGTAATATTTCAAACTGATCACACACATAATGCTGTACTACAGTAAAGGGGTATGGTGACAGGAAGTTTCTTCCATGTACCATTTTCTTTTTAGGTAGGAATAGGGAGTACAATGAAGTCAGACCTTCTTCCTCTGACTGTTGTACAGTCAAATAAGTCTTCCTTCTTCTGTTTTTGAAGCAGTTCAGTTAGTGAGCTAAATGCTTAGAGTCAGTGGAATTTAGCTTGCTCCAAGGTTTCTGGTTTGGTCCAAATATGAGACACATAATATGGAAATGCAGCTTGATGTATAACTTATTTATACCTCATCAAATGCTATCTGCTGGGTGAGTTATGTCTGTATATTTTCAATTGTGTAAAACCAACACTTAGTATAAATTAAAGAAACTGTCTTGTGTGCAACTTCCCTTTCTCTCACTTGCTTAAAATAATTTTAAGCTTTATGTCAAAATTCTGCCCACCGTAATCCTGTCCTTTTGACCTCAGTGGGTTAAAACCTGGACTTAATCCAAGAGACCCTTCTGGATTGATCAGAATAGGATGTCTTGGTCCATTTTTAAGCAAATAACCTTTCATATTTGCAGGTTTTAGTAGTGTGTATTTTAGCAGTATACAGTACATAATTAATAGAAAACTGATTGATAGGTAAAAACAATTATGCCATTTTAGGGGCTTCTTTTGCTTTGTTTTCAGCTATTTACTTGTTTTGCATCCTTTCAAAGGAAACTGCATAGTGATTTTTTTTAAATGACTTCTATATTTCCACTGTTTGATGCAGCTACCTAAAAGCATAATGATACATACTATTCCCTCTTCCATCTTGCACTCATTTGAGAAGAATTTTTATAGTTTTCTGATGTTGGCTAACTGCTCCCTAATGTGCAAGATCCACACAATAGGGCTGTGTGAAGCAGCTACTATTCACTTTGGATTTGGCCAGTTTGGGGGACAGTGATTCAAATCGGTGATTCGAATCATTATCCCAAATTGTTTTGGCCGAATCTGATTCAGAGATTTGGCCACTGCCGAATTGGCCAACTCTTCAAATCAAATAGGCCCCATTCCCTGCCTGCTGTCCCAGCCCCAGCTATGGCTGCCCTGCCCAGGCCCAGCATCCTGGCTCTTGGAGAAAAAAAAAAAAAAGCC